AAAACTAGTTATTTGGTTAAAAAAAGTTGAAGGTCAGATTTGATACTCTTGATTTGTTTTGCCCTGAAATGAGCTGGTTCTAAATTCTAAGGACTGTCCTGCCTTCAGAGGACACACTTGATTAGTGTCAGACTTGATAAAAGTTGGTCATAATCTTCCTTTTGTTGGAATGTAACTCAGGAGTTGCAACATCAACTCCCATAGTTTTGTTGTGAATTATTTTTGATGAATGTCACATTATCAACTAGATTCTTCATATAAGTCTGTGATGCTTGCTGTATGCTAACACATATATGTTCTTCTTGGTGATAATAACCAGTGTTTGATAGCTCTTTATAAAGATATAAATAAGGGCCATGGTGGCTCAGTTGCTAAGACAATGAGCTTGTTGATCAGTCGGCAGTTCAGCAGTTCGAATCCCTAGCCCCACTTAATGGAGTGAGCTCCCGTTACTTGTCCCAGCTTCTGTCCACCTGGCAGTTCAAAAGCATGTAAAAATGCAAATAGAAAAATAGGGACCACCTTTGGTAGGAAGGTAACAGCATTCCGTGCACTGTCGGCATTTAGACATGCTGGCCACATGATCACGGAGATGTCTTCGGATAGCACTGGTTCTTCGGCTTTGAAACGGAGATGAGCACCATCCCCTCGAGTCAGGAACAACTAGCACATATGTGTGAGGGGAACCTTTACCTTTACCTTACCTTTAAGATATAAATAAGGGTATGGGCTATGGGAATAGGCTAAGATATTACACTGGAAGGAAACGTCTACACCTGAAATACAGTATTGGATTACAGAGCCATGTTGAATTCATCTTTTTCCAGCAAAGAGGCAAAGACAAAGACTTTGCTCAAAGGTTTTGGAATTGTCTGTTTATAAAACATAATTTCCAGACCTGTTCTTTCTTTTGTAACATAATTTCCAGACCTTTTCTTTCTTTTTTCCATGTTTTAATTGTTATGTTTATCCATGTTGAGCTTGCGTTGATCCCTTCTTGCAGTTGTATTTCTACCTCTCTTTTGTTCGTTAGTCAAATAAAACAAACTTCTTAGACTGATGGTTCAGAAAGCACATCGTTCCCACCTCTTGGAAAAGGAACCAATCAGGAAACAACACTACAAATTTGCTACTAAGCCATCTTATGAATCAATATCTCATAACCACACCCAGTAGATATTGTACCACAATGAATTAATCACTCTTACAAACTCCTTTATTATTTGATTGTGTGATCCAAAATGTTATTAATTCAAGCAGCTTGCCTTTCTGTACAGTTTATTTTGGTTCAACTCATCTCTTTAGCGAACACAGGTTCAACAACACCACTCTGGTTTTATAGGCAAGCCTTTCCTGCTATCACATTTTGATTATTATACTTTCTACATGAAACTACGGGCTCTGTCGATGAATATGAACCTTTTCTTAAAGGCATCATGGCCAATTCTGGGCTGGAGATTACCTTAGATATAATCTGCTTATACGTTTTACTATCAGCCTAGTCCAGGGGTCGGCAATCTTAAACACTCAAAGAGCCACAAAAGTGCTAACCGGAAGCCCCTCCTCCCGGTTCAATTCTGGAGCTGACCAGAAGTCCATAGAGTGACCATAGAGTCTCCTCCTAGCACAGCGTTCTTTTTCCTCTATCTTTCCTAACTGAAAGCCTATCAATTGTGGAGCTGACTGGCAACAGGGAGCCACAGCAGAGAGATGAAAGAGCCACATGCAGCTCCAGTTGCTGACCCCTTGGCCTAGTCTACTTACTTTCTTACCTACTTACCTACCTACTTACTCTTTTTTAAAGCAGGAGGAGGTAATATAGCAATAGCACTTAGACTTATGTATCACTCCATAGCATTTTACAGCACTCTCTAAATCAGAGATGTCAAACTCACATCATCACGACAGCATCACGTGACATATCGGAACTTTTTTCCCCCTTTCACTAAACCAGGCGTGCGTGTGACCAGTGCATGACGCATCTGGCCCACAGGCCGGGAGCTTGACAGCCCTGCTCTAAATGGTTTGCAATGTCAGCATATTGCCCCCCCAAAAAATCTGTGTCCTCATTTTACTGACCTTGCAAGGATAGAAAGGCTGTATCAACTTTGAGTTGGTTAGGATGAAACTCCTGGCTGTGGGCAGAATTAGCTACAATATTGCATTCCAACCACTGTGCCACTGCAGCTATCTCGCGCATTGGCATCACAAATGATAGTTGCCATTCTACAGAACAGGGAGCTTTCTACATTTCTACTTCTAATGACTTATCCAAAATGGATCATTTAGAAATACATTCGCTGATTAAATGAATAATGATTGCCATGGTGAATGGTATATAAAATTAGAGGACCAGATGTACCTAATTTTATGTTGTTGAATAATTAAAAAGCATCTGGCATCTCTGAGATTATCAATCCAATGGACTGGTGATTATGCCAATTTTGTTTTCTTTCATTTTCTCATTTTTCTGAACCTGCCAAATTTGAGTGATATGCCTTCAGTATTGTCTTTTTATAAAACCTTGCACTACAATTTGCATGCAGCTTGGTGCCTAATAAAACAATGTTGCCTATAAATATATCTTTGCATATGATTAAGAAAAAATGAATTCATTTATACCTCATTTTCATGAACGTTTGGATTTTGTCCAGATTTTGATCCAGTTCATGTTTTGCAGTGCTACTTGCTAACAATATCACAAACCTGAGACAATTGCACATCATTAATAATGCACTAAATTGGTTTGTATATTTTTAATCCATGCATAAACCAGAAAAAATTGGCATTGAGCTTCTCCAAATATCTAACTAGTACTAGGTTAGCAAAGCTGTACCTTAACATTATTAACATAGTTGTATGTTACATATGAAAAAACCTTTATGTACAAAATCAAATCTAAAGGTAAGATGCTTTCTAGAATACTGCTCATTTGTTTATTTATTTTTTTGTATGTCTGAGTTTGGGCAAGACAGAGAATACAAATTATGTCTATTTTAACCCAGAAACACTTGCCTTTAATTAATGAAGTTTTTGACTAAGCAAGACAGGTGGAGGGGAAAAAAGCAGATATCTCTCATAGACTAGGAAATACGCATTATCCTAGATTATTAAAGCAATGGAAAAAAACATGGATTTTCTCAATATGATTTTCACAATTATCCTATCAAGATGCCTTTTCCCATACCTGCTCCATTTGGGGGGAAAGGAAAGCTAGTAGAGTC